TAGACAGGCGAGCTGGTTAATATGACATTCTACAAACCGAGATGGAGGCTCCGAAGACATACGTTTCAATTGAGACGGATCCGTTCGTCCTTCTTTGTAGCCTCCGTCTCGGGTTGTAGAATGTTTTAGCGTTGTGTGCTGACACAAGATCCGAAATGTGTCCAGTTATTACTGAGAACTGATGCCAGTAAGCTGAATCGTTTTTTTTTTTGTGTGTGTGTGTGAACAATCACAATTCGTCTTGATGCAAGGATCAGACTTGGAGGCTCATGGTGTGTGCACGGACTGTCCAAATTAAAGGGAAGATGGGGCACTTCTACATTTGAGAAAAAACGCTTGAATTGCGTTCATTTCGCCTTTAGAATAACAGATATCACAATTATATTTCAATGCGACGCGCCGGAGAGCCATAAGAGCATTTTGAAAATAGGGCTGAAGCCCCGCCTCCCTAGCCTTGGCAAGCCAAAAGATCCGTCGATGACGTCACGGACAGCGACTATCTTTCGCGTTTTTCTCGCGTTTAAAAATACTTGCGCGGCAAATGGTTTTGGTATTCGGGTTCACGAGGTAAAAATACACTAGAATTCACTTCTAACTCATTTTTTTCAAGAAGCTCCGTAGCTTCCCTTTAAGGGCGTGTCTCGGCTTGAAAGTATACTATAGACGAGGTTTAGAATTTGTCCAGATTGGATTACTAACCGATAGACAATGCCTTAGCTTCTGTTATACTTCCTCCTCTAAGAAATCCCACCCATTATTTATGTTATCTTTTTTTTCAGGCGACTTGTGGCAATGAACCCGCAGGAGAAGTCCCGGCAGTCGTCAAGAAAAGTTGCTCTGGTGCATCTGAAGGCGCAGGGAGCCCTCCAAGAGTTCTCGAAGTTCCAAAAGAAGTGGAAAGATACTTCGGTGCTTGTTTAGATTAATCTTTCTTTTCTATTGTTAATATTACAATTTGTTGTATAGGCCAAGATGGTTCTTTTCGAGATGTAGCATGTCAGCATAATTTTTGGTCACATTTTTTTAGGAGACTGCTCACTTTGATATTTTTTTATGGCTGAGCTGCCCCCCAAAATATTTGCGGCATGAACTGTGTTTTTTTTTTATTGTGTATCTGCTCTAGTCATTTAAAAGAAAAATAAATGTAAATATTTTTGAAGCAGCAAACTGTTCAGTCTTCTTTGCAATGGGTCCGTTGCTATGGGTTGGAACTAAAAGGACCAAGCGTGAACTTAGTTTGATAACGATTTTTTTACAAATGTTTATCTGCCTTTGTCCCCGTCACTACATGTACAATGCTCTCTAAACTTGACGTAGCATGTGAACACTTTCTCATGGCATTCCTGGCTGTTCTATTGAGTATATATGTCACAGATTCATTGTTCTGTTTTCAGGATAGTGCTCGCATTAGATACGACAGTTCAAATTTTCCATGCATACAAGTTTGGGGAACATTTGCGCATTGCAGGTAATTTTATGTTGCAAAGACGTGCATCAAGTTGCGCCTGCAAACTGCCAGCACATCCCTGTTTTGCATGTCGCATATCAACTTTTTCAAGGAGGAGCTTGGCATGTGACATACAAAGCCCGGATGTACTCATGAATAGCGGCAGTTGTTGAAAATTATCGTCTATAGAAGAAGAGAAAAAGGAGATATACGACGAAAAAGAACGGACGATGACAGCTACGGCGCTCCAAAAGCAAACGGAACCATCATGTAAATATTGTATATAAATCCTTTCTTGTTCAACTAACTCGACGCAGTTGTTCCCCTAATGTAACGCAAAATAATGGTGCCGAAACCCGGGAATAGCTGAGCCAAGGTCAAACAAGAAAATACTTCGAACATCCATCGTAAGGCCTAACGATCGTCTAAGGTACTTACCGCAACGGAAATGGATCCTCTAACGCCAGCAGCCATCGATCAACTCAAAAGAAGAAGAGCAGTGGTTCGGTCATCGGCTACCAGAATTATAACCGAAACTGTGGCTCTTCTATCCATGGAACCAAAGCCCATCGGTGAGCTGGAAGAAAAACTTAACATCTTAACAATCAAAGAAGCTGCACTGAAGGAAATTAACGACCAGATTGAGAGAGCCATCACTGACAACACGCTCGAACAGGAGATGGAAACCGCTGAAGGCTACACCGAAAGAATTAGCGCAACGAAAACAAAGATCCTTCAGAGTCTCAGAGAGCAAGAGCGAATGATCAACAGAACGTCGGAGACCTCGAACAAGTTGGTAAATCGGAACAAAAGCTCTATGCAAGTCGGACACACGCAACAGCAAAGCTTCCGAAATTAGAAATCGCCAAATTTTCTGGAGATATTCGGTCATGGCAGGGCTTCTGGGACCAGTTTGACGCTACGATCCACAAAAATGTGTCTCTCTCGGCAATTGACAAGTTTAAATACTTGAAGAGCTACCTTACAAGCAAAGCTGCTGCGGCAATTGACGGTTTTCAACTAACATCTGAAAATTACGCAGTTGCACTGGACATTCTGAAAGCAAGATTCGGGAAAAAAGAACTCATCATAGAAGAACACCTTGCACGGTTGCTGGCTGTAAGAACAATAAGCAACTCTCAGGACGTCGAGAAGCTCAGGTTATTATACGACGAAGTTGAGTCTGGAGTTCGTAGTCTTGAGGCACTTGGTGTATGTTCAACCACATACGGAACAATCCTCCTAACGGTTCTGCGAAAAGCCGTGCCATCAGATCTCGAACTGGAATATCATCGAAAGACAACAGCAGTATCAACAAACGAAGGCAACGAGCTAAAACGATTCTTGGACTTCCTGAAAACGGAAATTGAAAGCCGAGAGCGGACTCAGCATAGAAATCAAAGAAAACCAACTTCCAATTTGTATAGAGCTACTCCTGGAGGAAGAGACCGACAGACACAATACCCGCCTTCGGCAGCTATGTTTGCGACAGGAACTCAGAAAGAAGAGAAACAATGCTTGTTCTGTGGATCCTATGACCACCTAACTGCCAACTGTTCTATACCAATGCCACCGGAAGAGAAAAAAAGAAATGCTGAAAAGGAACAATCGATGCTTTCGATGCACGAAGCAAAACCACCGTGCAAGGGATTGCAGAAGCGCAAGGTGGCTAAAGTGCGCACAATGTTCTAAAAGGCATGCCACGGCAATGTGCAATCCAAGCTACAACGCGTTAGGAAACAAGGGTCCGCACGAAAATTCTAGTACAAGTAAGGAGGAAGCCCCTAACGAAAGAGTGCTGCAGTCCTCTCTAAAGGCAACGAATAGCAAAAACAGAGGGCCGTGCCAAGTCCTTCTACAAACGGCAAAAGCATGGGCAGAAGGTGAACAAAACCGTGTGCTTGTCCGGCTTCTCATTGATGGCGGAAGCCAACGCACCTTTGTGAGACGGGACATCTCAGAGAAACTTCACCTGAACGTTTTAGGAGAAGAGGACCTAACGATCTTCACCTTTGGAGAAGGCGCTGCAACAGCTTCAAGAAAGTGTCGAAGAGTAGAGCTATGGCTGCGCAACCAATACAACAGAAAGGACGTTCGAATTGAAGCCCTAGAAGTCCCACAGATATGTGCTGACATCATTCACACACCACCAGACGTCACGCTGGACATACCAGAAGACATGCTGCTTGCTGATACGTCTCTCAACAACGACGAATGTGAAAACGGAATCAGCCTACTAATCGGAGCCGACCACTATTGGGACGTGGTAAGTGGAAGCGTGAGACGCCTGAAAACAGGATTGATATCCGTCGACACCATCCTCGGCTGGACTCTACAAGGGCCCATGTCCTCAAGATCATCTACTGCTATCTACTCATCAATTACTGGAGTGATGAAGGTTACGACAGCTGACGCAACTGAGATATCAACACAATTGCGATCGTTCTGGGAACTGGAGCATATCGGAATTAAGGAACAAGAAACGTCAACCAACGAAATTGCTCAATTTGAAGACTTTAAAAAGAGCGTAAAATATGAAGACGGACGATACCAAGTTTTTCTCCCTTGGAATGATAAAGTTGAGATGCTCAAAGACAACAAAGAGAACGCAGAACGAAGACTCCGATCACTGACTGGACGCCTCATGAAAAACAAAGCGTTCATGAGAGACTACGACACAGCAATGCGGGAATATTTTGGCAATGGGTTTGCAGAAAAGGTTCAAAGTAATGAAAAAAGCGGAAATCCTGTATATTACATGCCACACCAAGCGGTTGTGCGACAGGAACGACTGACAACAAAATTGCGGGTGGTATTCGACGCGTCCTCCAGCGCTGCAGGGGAACTTTCACTGAATGACACCTTATCCAGTGGAACGAACTTAAATCCTGAATTAATAGACCTGCTGATCGAGTTTCGTACTCACAATGTCGTCGTAATAGCAGACATCGAGAAGGCTTTTTTACAGGTGATGTTGGCGGAGGAAGACAGAGATGCCTTACGTTTTTTATGGTACGAAACTACTCCACAGCAAGGACATCACCTTCCGCCTATAACAACATGGAGAATGACCAGAGTTCCATTTGGGGCAACATCAAGTCCGTTTCTCCTGGCAGCAACGTTGAGACACCATTTCGACTTGATGAACGAAGAATTTCCCGATACCTCGAATACTCTAAAACAGCACATGTATGTTGACGACCTGGTAACTGGCGCCGATGATTTGGAAGGAGCCCAGGTACTGTGCAGAGAAGCAACAAAGATACTAGAAAAGGCGGGAATGCATCTTAGAAAGTGGAAATCAAATGAACCAAGGTTGTTATCAGAATTAAAGGAAGAAGGATCCGGCCAAGTACCCCTAACCGAACAAATTGGCCGAACAAAGGTTCTAGGCATTGGTTGGGAAGCACAAGCAGACATCATCAATTTCGACATAGAACCTCTAATTGACTTTCTGTGCTCACGTGAAGACAGCAAACGCTTCGTACTTCAAGCAACAGCTCGCATATTTGACCCTATGGGTTTTCTTGCTCCCACCGTGACAACCATAAAAATGCTATTTCAACGACTTTGGGAGCGAGGAGTTGAGTGGGATCAGGTGTTACCTTCAGACTTATACGAAGCATGGGACAAGTGGTGTACATACCTCACTGCCTTGAAGGACGTCGCTGTTCCAAGACTCATCGTTCGCGACTTCAACAAAGACAAAACAGAAAAGGCATTGCATGTCTTCTGCGATGCTAGCACAAAAGCGTACGGAGCTGTAGCGTACGTGGCATCGAAAGAGGAAGAGGGAAGAAAGTGTGTGACCATTGTAATGGCGAAATCGAGAGTGGCACCCCTCAAGCGGTTGACCCTTCCGCGACTAGAGCTTATGGGAGCATTAATTGGCGCTCGTTTGGCACATTATCTAACAAAGAAGTTGAAGATGGAAGGACTCCCAGTGTATCTGTGGACTGACTCCATGATCGTCTTTTATTGGATTCGTAGTTCTGCAAACCGGTGGAAGCAGTTTATTGCAAATCGCGTCTCAGAGATCCAAGGTCTGACGGAACCAATCAACTGGAGACATTGTCCTGGTTCAGAAAACCCAGCAGATCTTTTAACGCGTGGACTCATGCCAAGTGCTCTTGTTGAGAACAACACATGGTGGAATGGACCCATCTGGCTTCAATGCTCGGAATCATCCTGGCCAAGTCAAGTTGAGGAAAGACCAGAATGCGAAGAGTACAAGGCTGAAGAAAAGAAAGATACTGTTGTTCAACTCACAATACCCGACGAAATTCATCTGATGAACTTGGAGAACTACAGTTCATTTAATAAGTTGGTTCGAGTGACGGCCTGGATTAAACGCTTCGTAAACAACATAAAACAACAAGGACAACGCAGGGGAGCGCTAACAAGCGATGAAATCATAGACGCAGAAAAATACTGGATAGCGGCTACACAAATGCAGGCTTTCCCGAAGGAAATCGTACACCTGAAAGATCAGCAGCAAGTTGACAAAAAAATCAAAAATCAAGTCGTTCAACCCAATTATGGACAGTGATGATATTGTGAGAGTTGGTGGTCGTTTACAATTTAGTAACAACGAGGAAAGCGTAAAACACCCAAGAATTTTACCTGCAAATCACCGGTTCACTACCCTTCTGATTGAGAAAGAACATCGTCGACTGCTACACGCCGGAGTTCAAGACACTTTGACGCAGCTACGGGAAACTTACTGGATTATAAAGGCAAGACAAGTCATACAGAAAGTAATACGTCGCTGTTTAACTTGCCAAAGACAAAGCTGTGCACCTGCCTCAGAGCCGGTAGCTCCACTACCAGCCGACAAAGTTTCAAGATGCGAACCATTCGAAACTACTGGTGTGGATTTCGCGGGACCTTTGATATGTCGACATCACTACGGAAGTAGCAAGGTTTACATTGCACTTTTCACTTGTGCCGTAACACGTGCCGTGCACCTCGAACTTGTGAGCGACCTATCGACAACAGCATTTTTGTTGGCGTTCAAACGCTTCGTTGCACGCCGAGGCATCGCAAAAACGATTTATTCGGATAACGCCTCAACGTTCAAACGAGCCGCTAAAGATATCAGACAAATGTTTGAAGCAATACAAGGAGAGGAAGCTCAGACCTACTTTGCAAATCACAGGATTAGGTGGAAAACAATTGTAGAAAGAGCCGCATGGTGGGGCGGTTTTTGGGAGAGACTAGTGAGGTCGGTCAAAGTCTCACTACGCAAGGTTCTGGGCCGTAGTAGTTTGAATTTTGAAGAACTGGCCACGGTCCTCACTGAGGTAGAAGCTGTAGTCAACTCCCGTCCAGTGACGTACATTTATAACAACCCTAAAGAACCAGAGGCTCTATCTCCAGCACACTTTTTATTGGGACGTAAACTGACCACCCTTCCCCCACATCACTTAACAGCAAAAGATGAAGCAAGTTCTGGACACTTAGCGCGACGTTGGAAATATCGTTGCACTATCATAGAGCAATTTTGGAGAAGGTGGAGATCTGAATATTTGCTAGAACTGAGGTCAGCTCACATCATCAAACCCAACAGTTCAAGTGGGTTACAAACCGATGACATCGTCCTTCTCAAAGACGACTGACTCCCACGGCAGATGTGGAAAATCTGCAGAGTTAAAGAGACTTTCCCAGGAAAGGACGGCAAGGTTCGAGCATGCAGGATTGTGCTGCCCAATGGGGGGGAGCTCCGCCGTCCGATACAGTTATTATACCCGCTGGAATTGCAAGAATGAGCATCCGCTCATTTCGGGGGGAGTTTGTTGAAAATTATCGTCTATAGAAGAAGAGAAAAAGGAGATATACGACGAAAAAGAAGGGACGATGACAGCTACGGCGCTCCAAAAGCAAACGGAACTATTATGTAAATATTGTATATAAATCCTTTCTTGTTCAACTAACTCGACGCAGTTGTTCCCCTAATGTAACGCAAAAGCAGTAACATAAAATGGGGCGAGTACTATCACAAACAAGACTGAACTTTTTCCGTACGTACAAGAAATGTAACCTGTGTCGTTTTGGACGCATTGAAACATGTAATGTACTTCGTAAAAATGGTACATGTTCTGCCATGGCTTGCAACAGAACATGTGCTGGTGTGTGCCACGATGGTACATTTCCTGTGGCATACAGTACTTGTTCCGTGATGATGGTGTATGGAACTTGTTGTGGCTGCCCATACAGCAACAACATGTCCCGTACTAAAGAAGTATGGAACATGTTCTGTAGTCCGGTAATACAGTACATGTTGTGGCAACAAGGTTAGCATGTATGTGTCCCATATTTTGACAGGAGTTTTTCTAACAGTGCATGATTAGAAAAGGGAAGTTGTTGACGGGAAGTGCTGTTAGGAAAATTGACCGGATTAATGCTGTAGTGTTTGTAGTTAATTGCATAAGTGTGAAAAATAAAGTCAAAGATGTAATAAGGTGGTGGACTGGGCCAGTTGGTTGATGTTATACATGATGGGAAAAACAACTCAGAAAACATGGACTACGAAGAGGAACAAACACGACAGGGCAATGCTGACAAAGGATGTGTTTGGATTGATTAGCTCTGTGCAAGCAAATAAATTCGAGAGAATAGAGGCCTGGTTGAACAGCTTCATATAAGATCACGAGGTATTTTCTGGCTCATTTAACGCCTATAGCAAAGACAGGTCTTCACGGGGGAGTCCTTTTCATACTTGTTCACACTTTGTTAAAAAACCGCCCACTAAACCTACTGTTGAATCTGTGTGGTGTACTGTTGGGCTGCCAGACAACAACACATTTATTGCGGGAGTGTTCCACAGACTCCCCAACTTCATCTTGTTATCATGGAGGTCCCAAATAGCACGACGTCTGCTCCAAAAGAGAGCAGACGGGGGTGCTACGTGGGCAGCTTATGGGGTTCCACGTCGGTTTCGCAACTCGGGCTTAAGTCTGCCGAACTTGGGCTGCTCACCTAGATTCCCTCGTGAGACCAGCAGCGGGCCTACTTGGGCAGCCAACTTCGGCTTCCCATTTGGGATCTGCCGGGGACCTACTTTGGCAGCTCACAAGGGCTGCCCTTGCGGTACCCACGGTGGACCAACTTCGGCAGCCCACATGCCCCCCCCTCCCCCTCGTGGTCTCTGCAAGGGGCCAACTTGGGCAGCACAATTAGGCTTCTGTCGAGGGGCCTCTTAGTGCTCAAATAACACGACGTGTGTCTTGAAAGGAGGGTCGACGTGGATCTCACTTGGACAGCCCACGTGGGCCTCACGTCGGCTTTGCAAGTCGGGCCCAAGTGGGGCCCGCTTGGGCAGCCCACCTGGGATGCTTCGGGTTCTTACAAGCGGCCTACTTGGGCAACCCACAAGGGCCCTCCCCGTGGGGTCCAGAGGGGGGCCTAGATCGGCAGCCCACATGAACCCCTTTTTCGGCCCACAGTGTGGCCACGTGTGCAACCCCCCTGAGGTCGCACCGGGGACCTCATTTCTGAAGGGCTCATTTCATAAGTTCTTTGCGCTGTGGAGTATCACGGTGCATTACAAGTTGGGCATGTCCCACTTCCCCCGTGGGCCTTCTGAAGGTATTACCATTTTGATAAGTGAATAAAACGTGTCGAACAACGCCGTAAAAACATTGGAAATTCAAGTGTAAGAAATAGAATAATAAAACTGCACATTTCCATATAAAATCGGTTTGGACAAGTAATAGGGATGCATACCCAACTTGAACCGTCTACAGACACCGAATTTTAAAACAGTTACGTAATTCTGACGAGCGTGTTTCGAATTCAAACTTAAATTCCATACTCCACGTGAAACTTCCGCCCCACGGATTCCCTCCTTAACATACTCGCTGAATAGTGAGTTAGGAATAAAGTTCAGGAAGCCTAACATTTCTCTTTCATGCTTACAAGTATAATCCTCGGTGATACGGTATGAAATTAAGCCAATATCTTTAGGTGAATGTTCAGGACGTACAATAAATATCCTCAATATTAGAGGAAAGTGAAGATTTGAGAGTTGCACAGGTAGCCCAAGTTGGGCATGCCCAAGCTTTCTCGCCTAGGAGCCCACACCATTGCTAACCATGACCCTGTGGATGCAAGGTGGGATCCAGGGGTGTTTACATGGGCAGCCCATGTCGTGCATGCCCAAGCTTTGTCATTGTGAATCCCGCATCATTGCTAGCGTGGCCCACGCAGTGCCTAGGTAGGACCCACGGCGGTGTTACATAGGCAGCCGAAATCGGACATGCTTTGGCCCAGGTTGCCGTAAAGCCCACATCGTTGCTAACTTGGCCCCTCAGAGCCGAGGGGGCACCCTTGGGGGTTAACATGCCCACACTTTGCTACCGTTGAGCCCACGCCGTTTCGTAGCTTGACCCCCACAGAGCCGAGGTGGGACTCACAGGCGCTCTACATGGGCAGCCGACATTAAGAATTCTCACGCTTCTTAGCCGTGGAGCCCCCAATCTTTGTAAAGTTGTGCATGCCCACGCTTTGCCGCCATAGAGCCCCCAGCTCCGTCAACTTAGATCCCGCAGAAATGAGGAGGGTTCCACGGTGGTTTTATATGGAATAGTCAGGTTGGGCATGCCCACGATTTGCCGCCACGGAGCCCCATCTCCGGAAATTTGGCCCCCGCAGAGCCGAGGTGGGTCCCACAAGGGGTGTCATATGGAATGCCCAGGTTGGGTATGCCCACGCTTTGCCGCCAGGAAGCCCCCATTTTCGTAAACTTGGCCCCCCGCTTAGAAAAGGTGAGACCCACCGGGGTTTCACATAAACCGCCAAACTTTTGCATTGCCGCCGTGGAGCCCTCATCATCACAACTTTACCCCGCACGGCCGAGGTAGGACCCACAGGGTTTTCAAATATGCAGCCCAACTCTGGCGTGCCCACAATTTTCCCCTATATTAGTTAACAGTTTCCCCTATATTAGTTAACCCTATATTAGTTAAAATTTCCCCCCCCCTTACCCCCCCCCCCCCCCCCAATCGTCGAGATAGAACCCACGAAGGTATTGTATGGCTAGTCCAAGTTGGGCATGGTCATACTTTGCCCTCTTGAAGCCCGCATCTGTGCTAACTCTTCCCCCGCATAGCCGAAGTGAGACCAACGGCGGCGCGAGGGCACGCCCAAATTGGACGTGCCCTCGCGTAGCCCAGGTGGGACCCACGTGTGTATTGAAAGGGCAGCTCAAATTGGGCACGCCTACGCTGCCCAAATGTGCCGTCGCAAATCCGAAGTGGGACCCACTGCGAGACTGCTCGGACAGCCCACATTGCGCATGCCCACGCTGCGCCCACGTGGGAACAACCTCGGTTTCGTAGGGGCCGCTCAAGCACTTATTTCCCAAGTGGGCCCCACATGGGTCCCACCTCTTGTGCTATCCGGCGTACCTTATGAACTGGTGTACATGTTTGGAGTGACTTCGTCTTTGTGATTGCCTGGAGCTGAGCTGGTTGGTTTGACATGCATCTGAAGGTTTTCAGCTAAACGTACAGGGAAAAATGAAGAAGGGGAAAAAAAGAGTCGCACTGC